TGAGGCTGGGTGTCCGCAACAGCAGAGAAGCTCAGATACCAGGGAGGCTCCTACTCCAGACCCTCCCTCAGGCCCAAGGCCAGATGCAGTGGATGAGAAACATCCAGACTCCCCACTGCCTGGAGCTGCAATGCCCGGGGCCCCATCACGGTCCCCTGGGCAGAGGCAACCTGGCCCTGTACCCTCCCCCACCGCGAGGGGGGTCTCACAGCCTGTCCCACGGCCCCGGAAACGCAGCATGTGTGAAATAGCAGAGAGCTCTGAGCGGGAGGTCAGCCAGATGGTACCACTGAGGCAGGAGGGAGAGGCTCCAGGGGAGAGGCCCCGCCCTGCAGGCAGCGGGGCAGTCCTCACAGAAAAGCAGGAGGCCCGAAAACTCAAGGTGCTTCTGCAGAGGCCCGGGAGCCGGGGGGTGGCGGAGGGGCCTCGGAAGCCCAGCTCCCTAGCCCAGGAGCCCACTCTGGCCGCGGCTCGACGACAGCGGCTGGACCTGGGCAGCTGCCTGGATGTACTGGCCTTTGCCCAGCAGCACGGGCAGCCTGGCCTGGTGCAGGAGACCTATGCGTTGATGAGCGACAATCTGCTGCACGTGCTAGGAGACCCGGGCCTCTACCGGCAGCTGAGCGGGGCCGAGCGGGAGCGCATCCTGAGCCTCCGGACGGGCCGGGGCCAGGCGGTGGTGGGGGTCCTTGTGCTGCCCAGCCTCTACCCGCTGAGCCGCTCGGGGCTCACAAGGGGCCCTTGTGGGGAGGAGGCCCCTATGGTGGGACCCGCACCCCTGCCTCCTCGTACGCACCTGCACGTGTTCAACCCCCAAGAAAACACATGGCGGCCCCTGACACAGGTGCCGGAGGAGGCCCCGCTGCGGGGCTGTGGACTCTGCACCATGCACAACTACCTGTTCCTGGCGGGGGGCATCCGCGGCTCCGGTGCCAAGGCTGTCTGCTCCAACGAGGTCTTCTGCTACAACCCACTGACCAACATCTGGAGCCAGGTGCGGCCCATGCAGCAGGCCCGTGCCCAGCTCAAGCTGGTGGCCCTGGATGGGCTTCTTTACGCCATCGGTGGAGAGTGCCTGTACAGCATGGAGCGCTATGACCCGCGCACGGATGCCTGGACCTCGCGCGCGCCCCTCCCTGCGGGCACCTTCCCTGTGGCACACGAGGCTGTGGCCTGCCGTGGGGACATCTATGTCACTGGGGGCCACCTCTCCTACCGCTTGCTCAGGTACAGCCCTGCGAAGGATGCGTGGGATGAGTGCCCCTACAGTGCCAGCCACCGGCGTCCCAGCGACATGGTGGCATTGGGGGGTTTCCTCTACCGCTTCGACCTGCTGCGGGGTGTGGGCGCTGCGGTGATGCGCTACAACACTGTAACGGGCTCCTGGAGCCGGGCTGCCTCCCTGCCCCTGCCCGACCCGGCCCCCCTGCACTGCACCGCACTGGGCAACACCATTTACTGCCTCAACCACCAGGTCACCGCCACCTTTACGGTCTCTGAGGGGACTGCCCAGTTCCAGGCCAGGGAGTTGCAGCCCTTTCCCCTGGGGAGTAAGGGGGTCCTCTGTCCATTCATCTTGACTCTGCCTGCCACCGACCGGCTGCAAACAGCCCTCTGAGCTGCTGCTCTCTAGGGAGACCCTGGGCCTGGGGGTCTGAGGGCAAGTGGAGCACAGGAGGCGGCTGGCAGAACCTTCTGCTGTTGTTTCCGGGACAGCTTTGTTTTTCTGTTCTAATAAGGCTCATGATCTCCCCCTTCCCTACCCCCTTCCCTGAAAGAGCCCTCTCCCCCTGGAGCTCAGGCTCCTTGCATCTGGTTAGAAGCCGGCTTCTAACCTTCCCACCACAGCATGCTGTTTACTGCCTTTTCGGCTTAGTTCTTGCCCTGACGCCTCAGCTGGCTCACACAGCCCGGCCCCTCCTCCAGGGGGCTCCTCCTCCTCCTCCTCCTCCCCCCCTTCTCTGGGCTCCCAGGAGCCAGGTTCCCTCTTGCAGCACTGCACTGCCTGGAAAAATCTGTGTGGGGGTCCCTCTGGTGCTTTGAGAGCCAGGGACCGATGTGTCCTTGAAGACCAGGATTTGGCCTGCAGAGGGGCTGACTGCTGAGCCAAGGAAGGAGGTGGCTAGAGAGATAGTCACACTTCTCCGTTCTGTCCCTAGGGCTCCAAGCTGGGCAAGAGGTCTGTAAGGGAATGGGACAGGGGAACAAGGAACAGAGAGTCCCCAGGAAAATGTTCTTGCCTCAGGGCTTGGGAGCCTGGTTTGGGTCTTCCTGGGAAAAACTCTGTAGCCCTCCTTTGTCCGATTGGTCCCCAGAGGCCTGGAACCCTTGCCTGTGAAACTGTTCTGCTGACTGTAGCCCCTGCCTGTAACCACTTGGGCTCATGCCCCTCTGCAGCCTGTGGGGTCTCTCCCCCCCGCTTTGCCCCTCCAGAAGCAGCCTCACTTCCCACCACCCCCTGTTCTTACGTGAGACCCAGGTTTCACCTGAGCTCTTTCCCTTGTTAGCTGCGGACTTAGCCGAGACATCGGATTCCATTCTTCTCATCTGTGTAGTGGGGAAAATGAACATCTGTTACTCAGGAGAGCTGTGAGGGCATAAGGACACATGTGAGCGCCTAGCGCAGTGCCCAGGATGAACAGATAATGTTCCCCTTTACTCATTTTGGAATCCATCACAGGAAGGTAAATAAATCTGACTGAACACTGCTGCCTGTCCCACCGTGTGCCCTGGTTTGCCCCATCTGGCCCTTTTTATTTTGCTTTTTATTCCATCCTTGGTACTACTGGCACTAAATACGTTTAATTCATTGAAAGCATCTACATCTTATGATTCTCATTTTTTGCTCACAAGGCTCGCTATGCTGCTGGGTAGGACAGAAAGGGGTCCTCGGGTTGCTCTTAAAAATAAGTTTATTGAAAAACAAGTACAGTTCATACAGCTATAGATTACGGTTGCTGTTACTCTGCCAAGCAGAGAGGGCTCTGTGCCCCCGGGGCTTCTCCACACTGGCAGGCAGAAGCACGGTGGCCGTGGGTGGGCAGGGGGCCTACTGTTTGTGCTTGGTCTCAGTGAGCAGCCCTTGCCAGTTCTTCTCCATCTCCTCCTTGCAGTTGAGGAAGGCATCCTCCAGCCGGCGCATGGACTCCGCCAGTGTGGGGTTGGTGCGCATCACCACCATGTCGTAGGCCATCCATGTGGCTTGCACTGCAACAACCAGATGGGCCCTGATCAGGCTACAGAATGGGGCTGTGGCTCTGAGCACTCCAGGGAGGGCCAGATGCCTCCAGCCATGCTAAGCATCCCAGGGACGAGATCCTGCTGAGTTGCTGGTAGGCTACACGTTATAGGGCTCATAAAAACCAGTATTAAAACTTCTTCCTACACAGAGCACTACTGACACTTCCCTGATCTCACACAAGTCTTAACTTCTGGATACATCAGCCCGTGATGCTAAGACTGGAGGCCTGTCTGATATAAAATATTAGGACCATTTAGAGCAAACTCAGGTCCTTACCTATCTGCAGTTTACAGCTAGTGGTTGCAGGGTGAACCCTGAGGGGTCATAACACCCATCCAAGCTCACATGCTCAAGTAGGACTGATTATTCCTACTCCTGCAAAGCCCTGAGCCTCATGTTACCTTACGCACAGTGGCCTGGGATGCCTGCCCGCTTCTGTCTGGGTACCTCTGTGCTTTCATTAAGGCCAGCCCAGGGACTCCTCCTTCTGGAAAGGTTTGCCGCATCCCATGTTAGGTGTCCTTTGGTGCTCACCACTGCACTGAGTTTCTTGCTGTTTCCCATCGAGAGCTACCCGAGGGCTTATAGGTGAACACATGCTTCTTATACAAATTCAACGGAAGTCTGCAGAAACCTCATCTCTCTGCAGCACCCACCGCACTGGTGTGGTTCTACCCTCTATAATTACAAAGAACAAAGGTCATCTCCCTTCCACACGACAGCCAACCACAGTACATATATCTCCCCCTTAAAACTGCTCTTTGCTGGGCTGAAACATACTGGACACTTTGGGGAACTATGTCCTCAAGGAAATTAACCAAAGAGGAGATAAGCAAATAATAACACATGAATATCTACATACAACCAAGGTCAGCAGCAATGACAGACTTGATGTTTTACAGAAAGTAACATGTTTGGTTAAGGAAAAATTGTTAGAAAAGCTACGTGCAGTATCTTAACAGAAGGCACATAGTTATATGGCGTGTACAGGAATTCTTGAACTTTTGGATGTATGAGAGTCACTTGGGACACCTTTTAAAATGTAGATCACTGGCCGCTCCCACAACTCAAAGAGGGTCTTGTCTAACATGTTGTGAATGGTGCCCAGGAACCTGAATTTTAACAAGGAGACCACCCTTATAGACTGCCTGGACAGCAGGTGCAGCATGTACCTGGGAGTCAGAACAGTTTGCTTTCTGGCTCTCTCTACTTGCTACCTGTGTGCCCACAAACAAGTGACTTAAGTTCACCAACCTCATTTGTAAAGGAGAGACAACATCCCAGTCTCACAGCTGGCTATGATTAAATGGATGATATGTAAAATGCCTAGCACATATTATGGTGTTCAAGACAGGAGAAACCCTTGCCATAAAATAAATAAGAGGTATTCAGGGCAAAGAGAGTGGGTAAGAAATAAAAATTCAGAAGGAAAAAAGAGCTTGCAGAAATGAGTCTCATACGGTTCCACACAACAGTTGGAATTCTAGCTCTGAATTTCCTAAGGCGAAAGCAGGGGAAACATGCTCAGATTTGAAACTCGGTGGCCATAAAATAAAAACAAACCCATGAAGGACACCTGGGTGGCTCAGTCAGTTGAGCAGTTGAGTGTTCAACTGCGGCTCAGGTCATGACCTCATGGTTCCTGAGTTTAAGCCCCACACTGGGCTCGTTGCTGTCAGCATGGAGCCCGCTTTGGATCCTGTGTCTCCCTCTCCCTCTGCCCCTCCCTTGCTCACACACACACACACACACACACACACACACTCTCTCTCTCTCTCTCATAAATAAATAAATAAACAACAACAACAAAAACGGGCACCTGGGTGGCTCAGTCGGTTAACTCAGCTCAGCGTCTGACTTCCACTCAGGTCATGATCTTGTGGTTCATGGGTTCAAGCCCCACATCAGGCTCTGTGCTGACAGCTCAGAGTCTGGAGCCTGCTTCTGTGTCTCCCTCTCTCTCTGCCCCTCCCTCACTTGTGCTTTTTCTCTCTCTCAAAAATAAATAAACAAAACAACCATTAGATGCTTTTATCCTAAGAAAAAATTTTCCTATAGGTATATTCTATGAGAAGCATGTAATATAGTTGAAAATGTCCTTGACAACATCTCTACTTGAAATACAAAGTGATTCTTCTATGTCTATTTTTGTAATCACTGGTAAAAGAAAGCTGTTGGCATATTGCCAAAGCACAGTCCAGAAAAGGCAATTCAATGAGACACCAAAACACTATATCAAGAGCAAAGCCCTTTTTAATTTGATCCAAGGAAGAAAATTCAGAACGCATAGAAAAGAAAGAACTCATGATCATCAGAAGATCCTCCAGAAATGCACATCTCTTGAGTTTTTCATTCATTCAATATTTATGGAGCACCTTTGTGTTGGCATTTTGCTAAGGCACTCCTGGTCTCCTGGCAATATAGCAGTATGCAAGACAGACACACCCCACCTTCCGGAAGTGTCTATGGGGGCCATGGGAGATAGAATAAACACACAAGACAATCACAGGTTGGGAAGGGTGCTGTACGGCAATAAGCAGCATGTGTTGGGTTAGGAGGAGTCTTTAAACCAGATGGTAAGGGCAGGCGCTCTCTGAGAGCTTTTGGTAAGGCCTGCACTTCAGCAAAGCCAAGGCCATAATCTCTGGAAAAGCCTGAACAGCAGATATTCTAAGAAGCCAACTAGGGCTCACCTGATGCGCTACCTGCTGGCTAGGACTAAAATCCTCATACAGAAATCAAGAAAAAACAGCCAAGATGTGGGGCACCTGGGTGGCTCGGTCGGTTAAGTGCCTGACTCTTGATTTCAATTTAGGTCATGTCTCAGGGTTCATGGGTTTAAGCCCTGCTTCGGGCTCTGTGATGCTGGTAGGGAGCCTGCCTGGGATCCCCTCCCCGCCCTCCCCTTCCCTGTTCATACATGTATGCACTCTCTCTCTCTCAAAATAAATGAGTAAATAAATAAATAAATAAATAACCACTCAAGCTGTACACCTAAATGCAGGGTTCAAAGGATGAAGATAAAGTGTTCCAAAATTCTGTTGTAGGAGAGGGGAGGACATCACTTAGGGATGTAGTAAGTGAGTTTGCTTTGAGGGCCTAGAAGGTAGACAGGGAGTACAGGAATGATGACAAAGGGCAGGCTCAGCCATGTGATAAAGGGACAAAGATGGGCCTGGACTTTATAGCCACGGGCTAATTCCCACCTTTGGCAAAACAGACCAATCAACATTTTAAATGTAATTGGTGAAGTTATATCTCCCAAATCTCAGGCCCCAGATGGTCTTACAGATGAATTCTACCAAAATTTGAAAGAACAGTTAATTCTTACATAATACGATTCCAGAAATTAGAAAAAGAAGAGTGATAACCTCACTGTATGGATATAGGAGCATTCCATTTATGTTCTAGAAAATTTGAGTACAGAGATAAACAAAAATAAATACATAATTTTCCCTAAGTTAGTTTGTTCCAAAATCAAAGATTATATGAAAAAAATATAGTTCTATTTTATATCAATATAGATATAAAACTCTAAACATAACATGAACTAACCAAACCTAACAATGTGTTAAAATAGCATGTTATGATGTAGAATTTGTAACAGAAATTCAGCCCTGGGGGCTGAGCGCGGGTGCCATCAGGATGCTGCGCACAGGCTCTGCTCTGCTCTCTGTGCATAAATTCACAGACAAACATGAATGGATAACAACAGAAAATGGTATTGGAACAGTGGGAATCAGCAATTTTGCACAGGAAGCTTTGGGAGATGATGTTTACTGTAGTCTGCCTGAAGTTGGGACAAAATTGAACAAACAAGAGGAGTTTGGTGCTTTAGAAAGTGTGAAAGCTGCTAGTGAACTCTATTCTCCTCTATCAGGAGAAGTAACTGAAATTAATGAAGCTCTTGTGAAAATCCAGGACTTGTCAACAAATCTTGTTATGAAGATGGTTGGCTGGTCAAGATAACACTCAGTAACCCTTCAGAACTGGATGAATTAATGTGTGAAGAAGCATATGAGAAATACATAAAACCTATTGATGAGTGAAAATGGAACCCCTAAATAAACTAGTATGAAACAATTTAATCTAGCATAATTGTCTTAAATTAGTGGTGCATGGAGGATTTAAAATAGCAACTTTTGGGGCACCTGGGTGGCTCAGTCGTTGAGCCTGGGACTTTGGCTCAGGTCATGATCTCCGGTTTGTGGGTTGGAGCCCCCCATTGGGCTCTGTGCTGACAGCTCAGAGCCTGGAGCCTGTTTCGGATTCTATGTCCTCCTCTCTCTCTGCCCCTCCCCCGCTCATGCTCTCTCTTTCTCTCAAAAATAAATAAACATTAAAAAATTAAAAATGAATAAATAAATAAAATAGCAACTTTTAGCAATACTAGTGCAAAAAGAAATCACTTGCAACAACATTAATGAAAGAAAACACCCCTTAACTTTCTAATGATTGCAGATAAACATAGCATGTATCTTTTTTGCCATACCTTATGATTTTTAGGCTAGGCTCTAGTTATAACATTCAGAATCCTGTAATTATTTGTGGTTAAAAACTAGTTATAAAAATTATGTAATTCAAGGATAACACTGTCATCTTAAGTCTTAGGGAATATCGTTAACTTGTTTGCATCTCTCCCTGGATTGGAGTCAAAATACTTAAATGATCTATCCATTGGAAATAACTGGCAGTGGAGAAAGGTTTGTTAGTTCTGTAGTGTCAGATAAAGAATACTACCTTAATTTTGCAATATACTGTGCTTTCAAAATAGCTGGTGCTATTTTTAATATGGTGAAGCAACAGCCTTGCAGGAAGATAAATAGTTTAATAATAATACATTCAACTTCGTTAAAAAAATAAAAATAAATAAAAAGGGGGAAATCATAGGAATAGCTCAATTAATGCCCAAAAAAAGGGCAGTTAACAAAATTTAATACCTATTTGTGGTTTAAAAAAATCAACT